CTGAGGTTGTCCCAAAGGTGCTTTTTTCAAGAGGCAACTGGACTTTCTGGTTTTTCTTTGAAGATGTTTCGCTTCTCATCCAAGAAGCTTCTTTAGCTCTGACTGGATGGTGGGGAATGTAAGAATAGACATATAGTCTAAGATTAGGCTTTCCTGAGTTTGGGAACATGTCACAGCCTCACCTAACCATTTTGTGCAAATGATCAATGCTCGAGCAACACCATAAGAGTCTTGGAGGACCTAGTGGCATGGAGGCTGAGGCACAAGCAGAATTCTCCCAACACATTTCTGCAAACAAACTTTTAGAAAGGAGCTGAGTCACCAGAAATAATGTGCTTCTCATTCTCAGATCAGAATGCCTGTCTGGAAAGATATAGAAATTTAGAGTGGGAAGAGGTTCAAACTACCACTTACTTCAGGAATCTGAATTAAAGCATTACTGACAAGTGCCTGTCCAGTTACATCAGAAGCTGTCAAACAGTCCCCAGAATTAAGCTTGCTAACCCTATCCCATCCTCTGGTAGAGCACTACAAGTCTGTCCGAATCTAAACAGGCGTGAAACAAGTATCAGATGATTATTATGAGCACAGAGAGACATAATTAATTGCATTTCTATCTTGCTTTTCACCATTTAAAAGCAGATCCAAATACAATGCGGGAGCTAACATTGAAATAGCTCCACAACATTAAGAGAAGGCACGTTCTGGTTTTTTTATCGTGTGACCATTGGGATGCTGCAATGGCCATAAGTGTAAAAAAAAACTGTCATAAGTCACTTTTTTTTAGTGCTTTGTAACTTTGAATGGTCACTAAACAAACTGTTACAGTCAAAGGCCATTTGTAATGCTAAACTATAAACTTTGGGATACTGCTGAACAGACATAGGAAGGGTTTAAGTTCTGAAAGAGGACCAAAGTCTGCATACTTCTGACTCCATCTGTCCAATCGTGCTAATTCTAAGCTCACATGAGTAGAGTAAACCTTTGCTCAATATTCTGGTTGCTTAATATCAGGATTCTGTCTTTCCCTGAATATCATCAAACTTTCCTTATCTGTACTTCCTAGAGCACAGGTGTCAAACTTGCGGTGTCACATTGCCATCGCATGATGTATCACAACGTTTTCCCCCTTCTCAGAGCTGGGGTGGGCGTGGCCTGTGTGTGATACATGTGGCCCACAGGCTGCCAGTTTGACACCTATAGCATTCATGCCTCTAACTTGGATAATAGGAACATCAATTTGGAAAACATCTTTCCCTATCTTGTTCCAGGTGTTTCTGATTTCAGGCTTACGCTAGCTTGACAGGAGCTGATCTATTTTAACCAGCCATATCTCTAGAGTTATATGGTACTAGAAAGTCTCTAATTTAGAGGCTCTGCCTCCCCAATTTGCCACTTTTTAATTGCTTTCCAAATTCTCCCAGAGTTAAACTGTGCCTTAAAAAATTAAATCTAATGTAAGATTAATATTTTAATAGTGCTAATAATGAGGAGGGGAGGTGGAAGACTGCAAGCCTAGCCTAAAAACCACAAATGAAAAAGCAGTGTAGTTATAAACTATGCATGTGCTACAAGGACAAACAATAAGCAGATCTGCCTTTTTTTTTTTTTTGGCCTTGCATCATGGAGGCAATAATGTAGGAAGCCCTTGGTGTGAGCAGAGTAACACAATGCAGCACACCCTTCCTTTCTTCCCTCAACATAACTCAGTGCTGTTCTTCTGTAAACTCTGGCACTGGACTGACATGTTACAAAGTGCCCGGGCTTGCGTTTACTGTGTTAAGAGAGGTACAATGGCCTTATTATGTGTTTCCACAACTGAGGGTGGTCTGTAAAATTAATGATTGTGGCAGCTGCAAATTAAGTGAGCTCCCTAATATGTACTGTTGTTGATCCACCAAGATCAGTGTGTTTAAAATTCCTTGGTGGGAGACTAAATCTTCATAGCCATTTCACAAGTGATGCTGGCGCCCAACTGCAGCAATGTACGCAGGTCTTGTTTTATGAGACCTCCTTGGATACCAGGATTTTCCTGCGTTGATTGGCAATCTCGTAACCAACTCAGCATCTCTGTTAAATGTTCTGTAGCTTTGTGTGGCAGGTGCATTGTGGAGCTCCTTTAGGAATACTTCACAGCTTTAGACTGTTTAGATATACAGGTAGTCCTCAGATTAACAACCATTTGTTTAGTGACTGTTCGAAGTTACAATGGCACTGAAAAAAGTGACATAACCGTTTTTTCACACACTTAATGGCCGTTGCAACATCCCCGTGGTCGTTCGATCAAAATTCAGAGGCTTGGCAACTGGCATGTATTTATGACAGTTGTAGAGTCCTGGGGTTATGTGATCACCTTTTGCAACTTTCTGACAAGCAAAGGCAACGGGGAAAGCCAGATTCACTTAACAGTCATACTACTAACTTAACAACTGCAGTGATTCATTTAATAATGGTGGCAAGAAAGTCCCAAAGGTGTTTCTTCAAGAAGCAACTAGACCTTCTGGTTTTTCTTTAAAGACATTTTGCTTTCTCATCCAAGAAACTTCTTCAGCTCTGACTGGATGGTGGGGGAATGGAAGGATTTATCCCAGTGGTGGGATTCAAAAATTTTTTTACTACCAGTTCTGTGGGCGTGGCTTGGTGGGTGTGGCAGGGGAAGGATACTGTAAAATCTCCAGTCAGAGATGGGATTTGCCGATTCTCCGAACTACTCAAAATTTCTGCTACCAATTCTCCAGAACTGGTCAGAACCTGCTGAATACCACCTCTGATTTATACTTCTTGCAGACTACTGGTCATTTGCATTCTTTTAGCAGGTCGTTAAGGTCACCTGGAGGTTTATCTGTGTCATCAGGGTCACCTCAGTGGTGCAAATTGGTGTGGAGCCTTCTTGGAACTCTTGAAAGGACTGTGTTGTAGATTGGAGATAGATGAACGTTTTATCCCTCCTCCTCTGTTGAGAGAGAGCTGTTCAATATTGACATAGGTGGCCTCTTTAACCCCTCTTTCAAACCAGCTATCATCAAAATTGGCAAAACCTCAATTTGCACCACTCAGTGATGGACACAGATAAACCTCCAGGTGACCTTAAAGACCCACTAAAAGAATGCAACTAACCAGCTGTCTGCAAGGAGTACAAATCCTTCCATTCCCCATGGAATGGAATGCATTCCCCATGCAAGTCGAAGAAGCTTCTCAGTGAGAAGCAAAATGTCTTCAAAGAAATACAAGAAGGTCCAGTTGCCTCTTGAAAAAGCACCTTTGGGACAACCATGACATGGTTGACTGAGAATCTCCATAGACCAGTGGTGGTATTCGACCAGTTCTGCCTGGTTCTGGAGAGCTGGTAGGAGTGATGAGCAGCAGAGACCGAACCGGTTCTCTCCACCGCTCTGCTGTTGGGTCCGCCTGTCCCCCGGCCCAGGCTCCCATACTCACCGTTATCTGCTGAATTTGAAGCGCAGCTGCTTTGCGCGGCACAAAATAGCACCATGTGGTGGCTGCTGAAGCAACCAGGATCGTGCAGCTTGCAGGAGGCGAGTTAAAATGCCTCTGTGCCTGCGCAAATGCCTCTGCACCTGTGCAAAGTACGCATTTGGCCTGCACGTGCACTCAGTGTGTGCATGTGAGCAAAGCACGTTCACCAAGTCACGCCCACTGAACCGGTGACAATATTTGAATCCCACCACTGCCCTAGGCATGTGGCAAGAAAGGTTGTAAAAATGGGGCAAAGCATACTTAATAAGTATCTCGCTTAGCAACAGAAATTTGGAGCTCAATTGAGGTCATACAGTAAGTCAAGGACTATCTGTACTTCTTCTGAGAGTCTGGTAATCAATCACTGGAGATCTCCATCATGTACAGATGGCTGTGTACTTTGCAGCAGTCCGTGCATAGAAAATAGAGGCCAATTTGTATCTACCTCGGTGTATTCTATTAAATCTTATTTCACAAGGCCCTCTTACAACCATTCATGTTTCCAGAAAATTTCCCTCTAGCAGAATTCTGATCATTACCTATTTTATCTGGGATGGCTACACGTTATAGCATAATTTGAGGAAAGTTGATCGGTAGCAAATTATCAACTTCACTAGCTGCCATCAGCATTAGAGAACTCACAAGTTGTATAGGTCATTTTCCAGGTAGCAGCCTAGATTGGAAGAGATTCCCCCAAAGAAATCTCTAATTTCTTATTAGAAAGCTTCATTAATTTTATAGATGGTTAAATTAGGCCTGGAAAGTTCTTATTCTTTTTCTTGCATGCTTTCTGTGTAAAGGGAGCAGGCTGTATGAGGTTGAGGTAGAGCCTCAATCACATTCAAAATATACAAAAATACTAAAATAAGTAGCGCTATTTTGGAAATAGCTGTTATACTCTGAAAATCAGTGCTGTCGTTGTAGAGCTTAAAAGTTCTACTTTTCTACTCTGAAACATTTTTTCTTAAAGAAGTTTGGGAATAGTATGAATGTTGAAGAACGGCAGTCCTCTCAACTTCCAAAAGACAAAAAAGAAGACAAAATATGTTCAGGCACTACACATTAAGACTGGACTAAGGCATCTGTGGCCCTCCCAGGCATTGCTGAATTGCAGCTCCCAGAATCCCTGAATTTGGAGGCAAGCCAGTTGAGGTTTGAAGGCCAACCATTTGTCTGCTTCTGTACTGCAGGACTGCAAAGCCCCTTACGAAAGTATAATATTTAGAGTTCTTAGTTCATTACTACTAGTTTTGGGAGAGTTTGTGCTTTTCTGTTTTTGTTAAAAGGTATAGAAGATTTGCAACTATATCTCAAAAGATTGGCTTTGCTGGAGGGAATGTGGTCTGACAACATATGCACATAATTGTGTTTTCATTTGTGTGCATTTCTGTGTGCCTGTGCCTGGCCTCGTGTTTGTGTTTGCTAAAGCACTTACTATTGGTTTTTAACAAGTGCAACTTCACCAGTAAGCTTGCTCTCATGGAAAATAAAATCAATTCCAACTTTGCCTTTCTCTCCCTTAGATCCTGTTTCAGCTCTAGATCTGGGGCAGCAGCTCCAGCTGAAAGTCCAGCGCATGCACGATATTGAAACTGAGAACCAGAAACTTAGGGAAACCCTTGAGGAATACAACAAAGAATTTACGGAAGTGAAGAATCAAGGTAAGCTGAGGTGCACCAGGGAAGACCCTTTCCAATTAGGTGCAAGCCCCAAAGCTTTCCTCCACTTCAAGAGCATATTATTCTTAAAAGTTCTAAATGTCAACTAGTTTTAATTAGGTTAATATTTAGCAAAGAACAACTAAAACCCAAAATTCTTAAGGCTCATGACCAAGAAGCAACATCTAAAAAGGAGTTTGTCAGAGGGGAGGAAAATAGGGCCAGGCTTAGTTATTGGGTGAAGTTGAAATTCAAGTTTGGTAATGCTTTAGCCCCCGTTTAGTTTAGACTCAGAGTATGACCTCAGTTTAAATCTGTTTCATAGTCAGAATTAAATTGTACTTAAACAAAAATTAGCTGATCATCTGCTCTGCTTTTTTAATATTCTGGAAGTCAATATTCAGTCAAACTCAGTGCATTAATTTATACCTTATGATAAGTACAAAATATGTGTTGTTCACAACAAAAGCTAAGTGATGCACCATTTCTCTCCAGAATAATCTTGTGATGCTACCTCTTGCAACCTTCAATGTAGTTACAGTTTGTTTATCCCTAGGGCAGAATGCAGATAGTGAAGTAATGCAAGTTACTTATTTAAGTGGATGGGAAACTGTTGAAGGTGTCTGCTATACATGGAAAGGCCATTATCTCGTGGAGTAAGCACTCATCTCCCCAAATTGCTCCAGGTTTTGTTGGAGGAGGAGGCTGAAGGAGAACTGATGAGCACACATGTACAGTATATGTGCCTTTGCAGTAAGCCATATCCTGAACCAGCAATGAGAAAAAAACTCATTCCAGGAAAAGAATATTTTCCCAGTAGGCCTGGGATCGCCCCAAAAGTGTCCAATTCTGGTCATTATGACAGTGGGCAAATTATTTTAGTACCTGCAGGCTTGAGAGTATTCAACTGCAAAGTTGAATAACAATTTTAAACTTTTAATTCTGCAATCAGATATCAAGAATAGAGAGTTTATTTCAAAGCATTCAGTCCTTATTCGTGTGTTTTTTTCTTCCTCACAAGGAATGCAGCTTTATAACATCAGGAATAATGGGAGAAGCCCCTCCCCAATAAATTATGTGTGTGTTTTAACATTCCACATCCTTTCCATCACACATAATAATTAGCAACGTTTAGCTAAAAAAAGCAATGGTTTGAACAGTGTAGATTTGTAACTGCCTGTCCAAATAAAGATTTGTTCACTTGCTGATAAAAGCTAAGCAAAGTAAAGGAAATAATATAATGGATGCCCAGGAACAAGAAAGTCTGCTCTTCGGTCTGGTGGATTTTCCCCTAGAAAAGAAAGGGCACAGAGTGGGGTGCCCATCAACCATTCTTACACCCATTCTAACAAAAAAAGAAAAAGAAAACTCACCCATTTGGAGGAATAGGTTCGCAGGACTGTCGCATTCAGTTAATGACCACAGTGATTCACAATGATTCACAGTGGTTCACCACAAAAAAATGTAGTAAAACTGAGTCTGGACATGTGGGTGCCTCGACTTACAACTGTAGTGGCTTATGGCTGAACATCCAGTCTATTTAGAGTCATTGATAAGGTATGACAAGGTATCGCTGCTGTTTCATTTTTCTGTGCACTCGCATTAGAAAAGCGTGTGCTATGCTTCCTGACAAAGTCCATTGATCCTGCTCAAACCTTAAACATTTAAAGTTCAATTTAGCATTTAGGGAATAAAAGTCTCCAAAGGGACTCATAGCCATTGATTTTGTGTCAGGGTTGAAGAGCTAAAGTTTTAAACCAGGCTGCTGCTGCTGCTGTTGCTGTACTTCAAGGCAGGGAGAACTCTGCTGCATTACCAGGTGTGGTGGCTTATTACTCAATTTCTTTCTCCTGTTGGCTTTTTTATGTCTCTCTCCCCCCCCCCCCCCCCATCCCCAAAGAGGTGACAATAAAAGCACTTAAAGAAAAAATTCGGGAATATGAGCAGACCCTGAAGAATCAAGCAGAGAACATTGCTCTTGAAAAAGAACAAAAGTTGCAAAATGACTTTGCTGAGAAAGAAAGGTACGACAACATACGTGTGCATACAAATAACAGCGGCTGTTGCTTGGTGGTATGGCACCAGCTGGCAATGGATTAAAATACACCCACCCACTCTGGGTCCTTTCCACCCCTTCTCCCTATCCTTTTTTAAAATCTGAGTCTGACTTTAGCATCTCAAATAGAACGTGAAATCAGTATGTATATCTCCTTCTAGTATTATTGTTGCTAATGTGACTATTCTAATTACTTTATGTCTTTTTGACGTCTTTTGAATATTCTGAGCATTTGATAGAAACACTCCTGGATATGAATAAAACACAAATCTTGGCAAGGCAGTGGAAGCTCAAAGTTGTGATAGAATCAAGCAATTCATAAGTCAAATACATAAGTAAATAATCAACCAGCAAACAATTATATTATATTTGAAAAGTTTGGTAAATTACCACATTCCTAAAAATTGAAGTTTGAATATGTTGGGAAACGTAATTTCTGGAAATATGTTCTAAATCTGCCCTCATGCCTATTTTATCTTCATGTCCTGAGTGAGGATCCAGGATCTTTGCTTTAAAAGTTTGTAAATCAGCTGGCTGTAGCTCAGTATCATGGCATAAATATTTGTCAAATTAACTCCCGTTACCCTGAGCTACAAGTAAGCTGAACCATGCTTTTATGTGATGGTCTCTTTGCCTATCCAGGCAATCAGCTTCTCCCACTTAATTGCTTGGCCATTAGGGTTTCATGTTGAACTCCTGTGAGAGATGGGTGGCACATTGAGGTGGCCTCATAATAAATGCCTAATGATGTGGAATTTCTACACAGTAAATCTGGTGGAACATTTTGAAAGGTTGAGCTAAAGTGCAAACAATGCCTCTATACTGGCTCCACTTTTGGTTGTTCAGAGCAACCCAATTTTAGAAAGAGAAGAACTCTCTAGGATAGATCAGTGCAACTTTTTCAGATGCAGGGCTCATGGCACAGACTGGCATGCTAAAGGCTGAGGGCCCAATGCCAGAACAAAGAAGTGGGCAGAGTGGGGACAGAAAACTGAACATTACTTAAACTTTTGGTTGAATACGATGAAATACAATTTCACATAAGTGAATGTTGTGATTTTCCCCTCCTGCCTTATTAAAAATTAAAATTTCAAAGAGGTGCTCTGGGAGAATAGCCAAAACATTTGAAGACATTGTGCACCCTTTCCTCTTTTACCCATGGGCCATTTCTGTGGGCCTTTTGTCCCTTTGGTTAATTTTTTCCAGATTTATTATGAGAGGTTTTGTTTAATAGAAATTGTGAGAAAATATGCTGGTGTTTCATGATAGCGTGAATGAAGTAGTGATGACTATATAGTCTGAAAGGCCACCGTCTATTTTTCTAGATTGCATCCATTTAGCCCAAAAGCTCATCACTGCTCCAAGAGAACATTGTAAGGTATATTCAAAGAAGATAACTTGTTATTAGAAAGGAAAAAAATTGTGTCACATAATGCACTCATAATTCATAAGTTCCATCGAAAGGTTATCTTCTTCCAACTAAGGCAGGGGTGTCAAACTTGTGATGATATGTCATCACATGACATGTCACAACTTTTTCCCCTTTGCTAAACCAGGGATGGGCGTGACCAGCGCATGATACATCCGGCCCACAAGCTGCAAGTTTGACACCCCTGAACTAAGGGATTCCTGTTCCCCCAGTAGGAAGATTCCTTTGTGGTATTTCCATGTGTGAAACTGTGTTTATTGTTTATTCTAAACACGCACCCACCCCACATACACCAATATATCCTGCAAGAATTGAGTATATTTTCAGTTTCTTGGTTTTAATGTAGTTCTCTGTTTACAGAATGTTGCAAGAGACACAAATATCAACGGCCTCAAAGCTGGAGGAAGCTGAACACAAACTGCAGACGTTACAAACAGGTTGGCTGATTTTCCCCCTTCTGTGACTGATAACAATGGAGAAAAATAAGGGAGTGGGGGTAGGCTTGTAAATTCATCCATGCAAGGGATGCTTCAACATTGCTTCTTTACATTTTGAAACTGTTATAGAAGCTGGTTGATCAATGTTCACTAAAGGTAAAAAAAAGTGAGAAAAAACATCATATTCTAAAATCATTCTTATTAAAATCTAAGAAGAAGAATTCAAATGAGGAAAGAGAATTGGGGATGAGAGCATTTGGACCCACAGCTCATTGTTTATCTTTTAGGAGTGACATAAGAACTGTTAAGAACTATTCCCCAGCAAACTGGCTAGGGAATTCTGGGAATTGAAGTCTGTTCATCTTCAAGTTGCCAAGCTTGAAGAGACACTGCTGCAGACCTTAGCAGGGATCCTCATCAACATCTCTAGCTACTGCATGAACAAGCAAACTTTAGGCAGCCGATGCAGACCACTGATTTGAGAGAATGAAAGTAGTTCAAAGGTCTTAGGCCATAAATGTTGTTGAAACAACTTGCCCTATATTTTTCCAGAGTGGAAGGCTTCTCTTTTCTGCATTCCCGACTGAAATCTTTATGCTGATTTGTGGATGCTTTTAGGGCCAAAGATGAATGTGTTACAGCAATATGTGTTTTTGTATTGCATCCTATATATGGAAAGAATATAATATAAGGAATTTATCCTCACATCAGCAAAAATGTGTGAATGTCTGTAGCAGCAAGTATACATTTCTTAGTAATGTAATGGTGGTCAGGACTGACAGCCGACTGTTGTCTCAGGAGAGCACTTGAGATCCTTGGAGCCATTAATGGCTTCAGGTGGAGAGAGATGCCTTAAACAGTACCTGTCTCATCTCCGGATCACAGAGAAATTTGGAGCGAAGTGAAGAAGTTCTCTGACTTTGCCCTGAGTAGATGCTGTAGAAGGATTTTTCATTCAGAAAAGAAATGAATGCCTTTTCTCCTGCCCATCCTTTTCTATCAGAGTTTGTTTCTAGCTTAATCACCTTATGCTCGCCTACCATATTTGCGCTTCTGTCCCCATTACCTTCCCACTTGAAGTTGAAACAAGTCCCTGGAGAACTGTGAAGAAGGAATTCAAGCCACAAGAGCCCGTCTATAAATGACATATAGCTTCACTAGATAAAGCAGGGCGGAAAATCCAGAAACTTTGACCATTTGTGAAAAAGAATGGTGGTTGGCTTTGGGTTCTTTGTGCGTCTCTGTCTATTTTCTAAAGAAAAGAATTCAAAAATGCTTTTAAGCATTGTTTCTCTGCCATATGATTTTGTTTGGTCAGGAAGAAGGCTTAATGTAAGATGACTTTTCAGAAAGAGAACAATTCATAGCTCAATAGTAATTGAGTAGCCGCTGCTGCTTTTTAAAAAAACATTTCTTTTTTCTTCTTCTTTAGCCTTGGAAAAAACACAGACAGAATTATTTGACCTGAAGACAAAATATGATGAGGAAATGACAGCAAAGTAAGATCTTTCAACTCCTGTTCAGCACATATGACTTGTGTTAACCTTCTGCCTCTGAGGGCAAGGGTAAATACAGATAATTCTTGAGTTACAACAGTAATCGGACCTGGAATTTCTGCCGCTAAATGACATAGTCATAAAGCATGACTTTATGTGATTGCATTGTTTAGCAGTAGCAATCCTGGCACTCCCCATTGCTCTTGTTAACCAAATTCCACTTATTTGCCAAGGATCCATCCCAATCGAAGCCATTTCAGATTTGATTCATCCCAGCTCCGAGCCTCAGTTTTTCCAATTCTGGGAGTTGAAGTCCACATTATGTTACAATTGCCAAGGTTGAGAAACTGTGATCTATGTTCAATCTTGTCCTGATTGAGTGTCTGAGGAAAAAACATGGGTAAGATCACCAAAATGTTTTTCCCTAGAACTTCTCTTAAAATGTCTGTGGAGAAAGATTCTCAGTCATCCTGGTCATAGTTGACTCAAAGGTGCTTTTTCAAAAGGCAACTGGACTGGATTTTTCTTGAAGAAGGAAAAAAAAAAAAGACATTATACTTCTCATCCAAGAAACTTCATCAGCTCAGGTCATTGATTCAGAACCAATGAAGCTTCTTGGATGAGAAGCGAAATGCCTTCTTTTTCTTCCTCAAGGAAAAAAACAGTCCACTTGTTTGTTTGAAAAAGCACTTTTGAATCAACTCTCTTGAAAATGAAGCTGTGTGATGACATAAGGCTTGCTGCAATAGAGAAAATGTGGCAACCACTTGGAGAACTATAACAAAGTTTCTGTAAAACAGGTGGCAGCCAAAACAGCTAACCCAGTTGGGCTATTTCTGAGCCCCGTTTCATTTTATCCTGATCTTTGAGTTAACAGTTCTCCTAGGAAAGCAGTTCAGTATAGCTCTATATGTGCTTGCTGATTTGCTTGTTGAGACCAGCCTTTCCCAATGTGCTAGATGACAACTTAAATCATTGGCTACGCACGTATGAGAGTGAGTGATGAGACCTATTCTCCAGCACATCTGGAGGTTTACACCATTTGTAGCCACTATGTCTCCCCCATCTGCCAGCCTTCAATAAAAGAAAAATTGATTGTGGTTTTCATTCTTGAGTGCATAATGAGTCTGGGGTAAAATTGTGTTTGGGAGTGGACTTGCATAATGGAGAGTGTATTAGAGACATAATGGTGTTTGAAGGATGCTGTTCTCTTTCAGGTTTTTTTTTGTCAGAAATTGAGCAGACAGGTTCTTCAGTGAGAGGAACAAAAGAAGCAGGACAGCTGCAGCAGCAAAATGCCTTAATTTCTATGGAGCCCAGGCAGGGCAATGACATCAGGCCTAGGTTAAACTCTTCTAAGAATCCTTTGCAGTATATAGTATTTGGAAAGTATTCTTGGAAATGTGGCAAACGAGGGATTGTACAGTGACCTTTTGTCAGCTGCAGGAATGAGAAGTCGACTTTATCTCTTCTCCCCCTTTTAAAAAATGTTTTTAATAGGATCACTTCCAGTTTTGGAACTGGTATTCAGAACAGTTTCAGGACAATCCATCCCCCATTTTGAGATTCAAAATGTAAACAAAACAAAAAAAATAAAAAGTAGAGAAGATACAATGGCAAGGGGCTGGGCTGTTTTCTTAAACTGTTGTTTTACTGTCCAGATAGAAAACTGCCAGGATTTTGAGGATTTTTTTTTTTTTGTAAGGACATTTAAAGATGCTCTATTATTTCAGTTTTGTGAGCATCCTAAGGTGAAAAGCAGTATAAAAACTCTGAATTCTAGCAGTGCCGTTGGGGAGAAATTTTTCTAAAATGAAAATGATGGTGATGAGTTCAGCCGTGTGCACTTTAGAAAATTTGGGATGCACAGTTTACAGCCCCCAAAACTTGGGTATGGTTCCAAGAAGCCTAAGCTGCTGACTAGTAATTTTAATGTGCTCAGGGTGAAAAATCAATAAGCAATATTAAGCCATAGTTAATTTTTACATTCTGGGCTCATTCACCCACTATGTAGCACTATGGTCTCTGATCCCAAGCATCTCTCAGCTCAAACATAGTTACATGTGTCTGTTTATATACGGTGTGTGTGTGTGTGTGTGTGTGTGTTTGTTTTAAGTTTTCGCGAGTACTTACATGTATGGTATTCAGCTTTGTTCGGGTATTTTCCCACGTCATTGTAGTTGTGCTTTTAAAGTTGTAGCAATGTTTCGGCAGAATCTCATCTGCCATCATCAGGCTTCTGTATTGTGTCTGTCTGTGAGTCAGGCCCCCACAGTTGTTTCAGTTTTAAATTTGGGGCTAGCCTACTGCTGTGCCAGAATGGTTTTTTCTTCATCCCGATTGGTTGGGAGTCTTGGTTTGTGTTTATTGGTCTTGGAGTTTGCTGTGTTCTGCTTGATTGGTGTTTCTAATATCTTCTGTGTGTTTTGTAGCTTTCTTTTTTGTCTTGATTGGCTGGCAACATTGTGTTTGCTGTATTGGAGGCTTTTAGTGCGTCTTGGCTCCGAGTAAATGGACGGCTATCATTTATTAGGAAGCTAGGTTTCATCTGGGTGCTTGATAGCCGTCCGTTTACTTGGAGCCAAGACGCACTAAAAGCCTCCAATACAGGAAACACATTGTTGCCAGCCAATCAAGACAAAACAAAAAAAAAGCTACAAAACAGACAGAAGATATTAGAAACATCAATCAAGCAGAACACAGCAAACTCCAAGACCAATAAACACAGACCAAGACTCCCAACCAATCGGGATGAGGAAAAAAAACCATTCTGGCACAGCAGATGGCTAGCACCAAATTTAAAACAGAAATGGCTGTGAAAGTCTGACTCACAGAAGAACACAATACAGAAGCCTGATGATGGCAGATGAGATTCTGCCGAAACGTTGCTACAACTTTAAAAGCACAACTACAATGACGTGGGAAAATACCCGAACAAAGCTGAATACCATATATATAAATACCCGTGAAAACTTAAGAAAACATACACACATACATACATACACACACACACACACACACACACACACACACACACACACACATATGTTTTAAGCACTTATGATGGCATTAGCCTACCCTTTTTCCTCTCTCCCCTGTTTTGTTCAGGCTGTGTGAGTGCTAGGGCAAGTTTTTTTTGTCCGTGGGACTTGGTAGTACATCACAGAAATAGTAGATAATTTCAAAGAACAACAACAACAATAATAATAATAATGAAGAAGCTAAAGAGTTCTGGAACGTTAGAATTAAAACAGACAGGCATCCCAGACTTAACAATTGTTGATAAGAAAGACCCTCCCAAAAAAGTCTGGATAATGAATGTGGCGGTACCAGGAGAAGCAGAAGAGAAGAGAAAGTACTGGAGAAGATAAAAAAAAATAAAGACCTGCAAATAGAACGACTGGCAAAAGAAAGCACTCCTTGGGTGCAGTCCCAAAACAACTGGAGCACCTTTGGCATTGATAAAATCACCATTGGTCAGTTGCAAAAGGCAACTTTACTTGGAATAAATGATTTTTTCTGTTTGAATCGCAATAATACGCGCACAAACAACCGTTTTAAACTCAGTGTAAACCATTCTAAGCTTGACAGAAAAAAATACAATTTTTGTAACAGTTGTCAAAGTCTGGAACGCTCTATCTGATTCAGTTGTCTCAGCTACAGATTTTCAGTTTTAATCACAAATTGACTTCTGTGGACCTCACTTCATATTTAAGAGGTCCGTAAAGGGGGTGTACCTAAGTGCACTAACATGCCTATCATCCCTGTCATTTTATTTTTATATTATTCATGGTTTCGTTTTCGTTTGACAAGTTATAAATAAAATAAATAAATAAATAAATAAAATAAATAACTTATATCCTACGACAGTACCTTATCACCCTCAAATAACAATAGCTGCCTATCCCAGGGCCTTGGGAAGGACTCAATAGCTGGATAAAAATGCCAAATCCAGTCTAAACATCTGGCTGACTGCATGACGGTCCAAGTAATAATACTTTTGGTATCTTTGTTGATATATGCTAACAATTAAGATTTTCACCATTGTGCTAGGCCTTTGACCTTTTTAATTCCCAATTATGTTGAACGTGGGGTTTTGTTTTTTTTAATCCCTTATTTAGTAAGCCAATTCATGGCCTAAATATGCAATATTAACTGCTTACTAGAAACTAATATCCTTTCCCTGCTCTTTAGGATGATTGTTATTCTTAGTTGTTTTGTTATTATTTAATAATACCTGTGAACAAACTCTTGCAAGCTGTCCCTCTGGTCTCTAGAAATGAAGGTGTTAATGGCCAGAATAAAAATGGCTTTCCAGCATGTCAGCTGGGTTCTCAGAAGCTGAAATCGACAAGACGCCATCAGTAAAGTTTTCCATGTGTAGGCTTGAAATAAAATGTAATTAGGGCTTTATGTGCAGAACAAGGGTCCATTGATGACTACAGCTGGTCTTTGTTTTCTTCTGTCACTGAGTGTGGGAGGTAAAAAAAAGTGGTCCTCTTCATGTTTATTAATGCAGGATTCCTGAGACAAATGGCAAGCACAGTTTAATGTTTGTTGGAACATGGAGGGGCTTGCCAAAACAGTTGTGTAAGAGAATTTCAAGGTTTTCAGATTGCGGCTGTTCCCAAATTTAAAAAAAAATCAGATGGTGGAGCTGTATGTTTCCATACCAGAGGCAAGCTGAGCAGGAGAAAGAGGTAGCAGAAAGGGTGACTTGTTTAGAGCAGTGTTTTCCCAACCTTGGCCACTTGAATTCTGGGAGTTAAAGTCCATACATCTTCAAGTGGCCCAAGGTCCAAGGTTGAGAAACACTGGCTTAGAAGGAAGCGAGAGTGAGAAGGAGAGTATGCACCAAATTGATGTGAAGAGTGGATCAGAAGGGAAAGATACGGTTGATTTGATTTCCAGATAATGGACAGGAAAGGGGCATAGTTGCTCAACTGGCAATCAGTTTTGCAGGCAGAAGAACCCAGGTTTAACTTTGACACCTCAAGACGTAA